GCCTCCCCTGGTGTGCAGGGGAGTCACAGCCCCTGTGCATTGCTTTGTGGGTGGGACAGGGCTGTTCCAGGCAGCAGGGAGTGAGGAATTCAGGCTGTGGGAGTGGTCTGGGGTGGGATCATACTGCTCCCCATCCTCACCTTGGGCTGGAGGCAGTGCCCCCAGGGCGCTGGGAGGTGACCAGTGTGTCCGAGTGGCTTTGGGTGGGGACAGTGGCCCAGCCCTGGCTCTCTGTGCCCCAGGCCGGCCTCCCTCGACGCCTTCGTCTTCAGCCGCCTGGCGCCGCTCCTGAAGGCGAAGCTGCCCAACGGGAAACTGCAGCAGCACCTGAAGTCCCTGCAGAACCTGTGCAACTACTGCACCTCCATCCTCAGCCTCTACTTCCCCTGGGATGGAGGTGAGGGCCGTCCCCCACCTCATCCTGCGGGCTCGGGGTGACCTTTCCCCCCTCTCATCCCTGCTCTGTCCCCCCAGCTGATCCCTTGGCCGGTGCCCCACGGGCTGCGGGCACGGACAGCAGTGAGGGAGAGGAGGACCCCCACAAACGGCGCAACCAGCTGCTGTCGGTGCTGGTGGGGCTGGTGGCCATGCTGGGCTACGCCTTCCTGAGCGGCATCGTGTCCATCCAGCGCGGCGGCGTGGGGCCGGCCGGCCGGCAGCCCATCGCCATGGGGGAGGAGGAAGAGGARGAGGAGGAGGAGTGAGGATGAGCTGTGTGACTGTCTCACCCCCCCAGCCCCCTGGAACTGACTCTTTTTACACCGGGAGCCTGGCAGCATCATTCCCCGTGGGTGCTCCGCTCGTTGTCCTGCCAGGAACCACGGCCTTCACTGCGGGAGTGTCCCTGCCACGCCAATAAACCTCCCTCTTGTCCTCTCGGCACGCTCAGGGTCCTTCCCAGTTTCCCCAGTTGCCCAGGATGGAGTGCTGCAGCGGGCACCAGCATGTCCTGCCCCCAGCTCTGCCCTTGGCCCCAGGCCCAGGTCTCACTGGGGACTGGGCACGGGGGGAACCTAAAAGCATCTGTGGTGTCTCAGCTGCATCCCCTGTCCCTTCTCCTGCAGCTGTGGGG